TAAATACTTATTTGAGAAGTTACAATTTTAGATAGTTTTGGATAATTTGCATTATATTGTTGTGTAAAATTATATTATACTATTGTTACTATTATGGTAATTTGCAATTAGTACTCCGCAAAATCAAATCAAATTTTGAATTTAAACAAAATATTTGAAATTATTTGTTCAAATTTTAATTAATTTGGTCAAATAATTTCAAATATTTGATTCAAATTCAAAATTTGATTTGATTGTGCGGAGCGCTATTTGCAATATTAATTGTAGGACCACAGAAGGATTACCACATATAGTCCAGCTCTACACCAATGCGAACCGTGCTGCCCGACATGCAAGCAAAGGAAATCAGTTAGAAATTTTGGGTTGGTACAAGTATGCTGAGGGCTTTAATATAAAGGTAAATGAGATTTTAAATAACAACTAAATATCTATAAAATCAGCAAAATCTATGATATATAAAGAAATTATGAGCCATCTCTCTTATGTTACACAAGAAACATTGAGAAAAAGAACGCAGAGGGCCAACATCATTTATAATTTGTTTAGCGCAATTGGTGTAGATAAAATTAGTAGGATTAAATCATTTAGTGCAAATACACTTTCTAATCTTAAGACACAAGATATTGAATTGATTAAATTACATGTTTTTGTATAATTTTTAAATATATATATTTTTAATTAAAATTATAATCAAATATATATTATTTTTTTTTGGATTACTTACCCACATATAATACTTTTACTTAGGTACAAAATCGAGTTATTAAACTAAAATGTCCTGTTTAATTTATTTATTATCACTAATCTACTAAATAGGATGCTATAAGAGTAATATTGTGGTATGCGATATACTATAGGGATGTTAATGGAGTAATATACTCCAGAGTAATCCTGAAGTATAACCCACTCCATACCAGTGTGGTTTTGGCATGACACCACCTCGGGTTATTAAGTTACTAGTAATAGAAGTAAAATACTTTGGAGTAATACTATTATATAAAGTGGATTATACTCCGGAGTACGTATTATATATTTTTTGTTACATGAATTTATTTATTGCGTATACATATATGGAAATGCCCACAGCAAAAGCAGGGGATGGGACTATATAATATATAGTCCCATCCCCTGCTTTTGCTGTGGGCGTCCCCATATATTAAATAAACTCAGATTATTTTATTTATTATGATGATTACATTAAACTCAAATT